CTCCCGCCCAAAACACGTATAAGCCGGTGGAAAATCAAACCATATCTCTTCATCACGACGTTGTATAGTCTCTAGTAGATCGCTAGTCATGGTTTGAAGAAACAGATGGGTCAACATAGCATCTCCACCCGGATGTTGTACTTTCAGCCATGGCCCGAAGCAAGTATCCTCAAATATTTTTCTTTGTGCAGGTGAAAGCTTCGACGCAATTGTTTTGGCCAGGCTTACTTTATTTCTTAAGGTCAATTGAGCCGAATAAAAGTTCTGCAAAAACAATAAACATACCAATTTAGATATACCAAAAACTACACTGTGAAGATATGAACAATAAACATAAAGAGTAGTAGTTTATTCTTCAAACTTAAATTTGCAACACTGTGAATTTAGTATTTGTTTTTTGGTTGAAGTAATGCAATTCATTCAAGTTTCAATTTGCAGAAGAAGAATAGTTTCTGAAACTTTAAATCGCAACACGAAAATGAAAATTGCAACACGAAAATGACTATCGCAACGCGAATTTGACTATCGCAACGCAAGAATCGCAATGCGAAATGAAAATTGCATTGCGATTCTCTCGTTGCGATAGTCAAATTCGCATTGCGATAGTCATTTTCGCGTTGCGATTCACTCGTTGCGATAGTCATTCTCGGTTTCAAATACTAAAATTGAAAGAAACTTGAATGGATTGCATTACTTCAACCAAAAGAATTAACAAAGACAAATACTAACTTCACAGGGTTAAAGACTAAATAGTTTAGCAGTATTGACAGCAATCGAATGAATATAATAAGCAATCTAAGTGAAACGGTTAATCTATTATTGAAAACACCAGTAAACTTATCATCAATTTCAATATGAAAAACCTAATAATAATGCAAAAAATTCAAAATAAAAATAATTAAAAAAACTAACCCTCGGTGGTTGATTTGGTTGATTTTCCATTTCTGACCGTGAATAATTTCGCCGGAGATGGAGACTGTTATCGTCGTGGGGACTGATTTCGTCGGAGATGGGGACGGATGTCACCTTAGAGAGTGAGAGATGGAGATGAGACTGAGTTGTGATTTAGGGTTTTAGGTTATGAGTTGCGATTACGGGATATACTGTGGACGGTTCAGTGTTCCGATATATTAATATATTCGTGTTTGGAATTTGAAAAAAAAAATATGCGTTAATACGAATGGCGCTATGTAAATCGCATTGCGATAGTCAGATTCGCATTGCGATTTACGTAATCGCATTGCGAATTTGGGAAATCGCAATGCGATAGTCAGAATCGCGTTGCGAATCTGGAAACTAATTTACGATACAGGAGATCGCGTTGCGAATTGTCGATCGCATTGCGATTTAGTTGGTTATTTTGGCAAATCCAAAAAAAGTTGGTTAAAATCGTATATTATAAGGCATTTTTTGTCACTGAGGTTATTTTAATACCACATTTTATTTAGTACCCTATCGTTAAAAATTAACAGAATTGTTGACATGATATTTTTTTTATAATTTTTTCTAATGACGATGTGACATTATCTTATAGTGACACGACAACAATATCGTTGTTAAGTTTTGAACGACAGGGTACCAAAATAAAACTTAAACTAAACGTTAGGTATTATTTTGAAACAAAATTGTAGCACCCCCAACTCGTACCTGACTAGGATCCGAGTTTGATGTGTCACATTACTTTTCAAAACATTTGCTTTGACAAAATAATTCCTATTATATAAAACATATGGTTTTACAAACCTTATCAGAGCGTATCCGACACCAATCTTTTTATCTTACATGCCAACTACATTTCATAAAATAAAATACATTTAATTCAAGATTTTTTTGATCTGAACTGGAAGAATGAGATGCTGACCTGCCATGCTTATCTTCAATCCCTTTTTCCTCTTCTCAGAGCCTACGTGTGAAACAATCACACGCTAAGTCTATGACTTAGTGAGGCATTAAACTTATAAAAGAACTCTAACTATTTACACATGCATGAACATGTCATTTCAGGATGCCACACCAAAACAATACATCATTATATACAACATAATATACACATATACATACCACACACTATTTCCATCTCTAACCTTATTCTACTATCAATATTCTTATTATTTATATCTTATAATCATATCCTCTTATATCTATTCTTTTAATCAACATATGATTCAATTAACCAAACAATACAAACATCATCATATAAATCATATCAGATTACCTAGTAAGAAATACATACATACACATAAATCATCATTAATAGTTTATCATTTAATTACATACTTTTATACTTAACCTTCTTAATCAAATACTATACCCATACATCATCATGTCCTTTCTATAACATTTATCATATCACAACATATATTTGTTATTATCTCTTGATTAGCCCATGTATATATGTGATTTAGTGTAAACAATAATAACATTTTAACATGCAAACATGTACACACTTTTTACATCTTTATAAGCCCATGCACACTATTGAGAACCCAAGGTATACGAGTACAATGAGGTTGTGCACACTTATACTGTCACCACAGCTCGTATAATAATCTGTCCATATATCCCGAAGAACATAGGTAAACTGTCCATATGTCCCGAAGAATATATGTAATCCTGTCCATATGTCCCGAAAGACATATGTAAACCCTCGACTCTTGGCATGCCAACTATACCTATAGCTCTCATATCACATAACATAGGCATTCTTATTCACATGTACATTTCACTTTTCATATGATTTCATAATTATATGTCACTTAGCTTATAACACTCCTCTTGTGTTCATATGACATGTAAATCATTATCATCTATTGTTCTCATATGTTTCCCATACATCACATATATCACATTCATATCACATATTCATATAGGCTTACGGTTTTTATCACCAATCATGTCATTTCACATATATACTTTTATATCACATAAACCCATATCTTCTTATCACATAGCTTCTTATTATATCATTCACATCATATAACTTATTGTCACATAATCTCATATCACATATACTATATTCACATACTTCAATATCATTGGACTTATTTCACTTTATTACATTAAAAGATAGACATATAGCCTTATGTGCCCTATCAATAGTATCTGTTCATATAATCTCCTTTTACCTTTTCAGTAAATACTACTTATTTTATCTCACCTTTCCATTTATTCACATAAGCCACATAGCACATACAAGAACATATCCACTCATATAATCAAGAACACATACATTTCATGTCATTCACATACTTATAATCAATACTTCATGCATTATAACTATCGGAAATAGACTTATCACAAGTCCAATTTCCATATAATTCTATAAAATAAGATGCACTCACCTGACCTCACTAGTCAATTCGATCTATTATCTTTCCCTTGATCGTCCTTACTTGCCAAATGTTCCAGAACTTGTTTAGGCTCAATATCTACATAAATATAATTTCCAAGACGATTATCAGAAGCCTAAACCTTATAATTCGATGCTAATAACTTAAACTAATTTATTGAACTATAATCACTTTTCCTTTAGGGGGTATCGATACACCCCTTGAGGTATCGGTACCCTTACTACATTCTGTTAGTTTTTTTCTCAAGAGGGTATCAGTACCTAACTGGGTTATCGATACCCTCATTACATTCTGTGATTTTTTTCGTTTGAGAGGGTATCGATACCTGTTGAATGGGTACTGATACCCCTAGCCCAGAAATCACATTTTAAGCCCGAAAATCATACCAAATCAACTTAAATCCTTCCTTACTTAGATCATTTGATACTCTTAACTCAATGATACATACTCAAACCAATTCCTATACATTTAACACATATTTATCCTCAAATTCTCATCTTCCACATAGAATTCAAGAATCATACCAAAATTTCTACTTGTTCTAAATCCACTTCTAACACTTCATATCTTTTAATTTAACCATTGACAAGTCAAGTTCAACTTCAAAATCTATGAACTCTTTCTATCTCAATAATTTATTTATGAACTTCTTACATTCAATCCTCCATAATTTCCAATTCTTTGAGTTTTAAGCTTATACAAGCTTTCCCTAAGCTTATATAGCAACCAATGAATAAAACTCAACTTAAAAATCTAAGAATTACTCAACTGAAATTAACTCGCCTATTACTCTTGAAGTTCACGGATGAAGAAGAAGAAAGTTTATGGAGAAATCTCTCATTTTCCTCTTAATCTCATGTGATTTATAGCCTAAACAAAGAAAGATAAAAAATCTTTCTGGTCAAATGACCCCCTTTATTTCCTTTAATAATTGCCAACAATTATCCACTAAATATTCCAATTTAGTCCCTGAATTTTTAAATCTTTCAAAATCAAACCTCAAAATTTCAAAATTTTCTATTTTAGTCACTAGCCTCGATTTTGGGATATTACAAAAATAATATTTTGGTACTAAAACGGAATAAAAGTAATAATTTATCCTTTTTATGACTACATATATCTAACCCGATTAGTTAATTACTTGATTAATCTAAATTAGGTAACCCAAAGTATTATTACGGGAGTGACTCTTTAAATCTAGTTTTTTCTATTCAAAATGTTATAATTTGAACAAATAATCTTATTTAAAAGTTTTAACACCTTATTTCACTAGACCCATGGTTGATATCATCCTATTATTTAGGTCGATAATCCAATTATCTTACGTGACATTGATATTTATTTGTTTAGGGTTTAACCATGATCTCTCCTTTCAATTATTAGTAAATAAATACATTCGGATGAATTATATATCGAGTAATCGAATCCGATTTTAATAATATATATGAAGAAAAAGGTATGGGCACCCTAAAGAGACCATTTCGTATAAACCTCGTATATCATGGACCATACCTCAACGAGTTTTGCCCAAAATACAAAGCAATATCCATTTGGTTTTTTTATCCCAACTTTTTTCTCTCTCTATAAATATAAATTCTCGTAATTGAAAGCTAACTCATAAGCCATTCTCATCTCTCCTATAGCTTTCATTGATTTTCTCATTTTTATTCACAAAAATGACTCTGCAAATCACACAATTCCCATTATTATTCCTTGCTTTTCTCTCTTTATTCTCACGTTACAATGCTTTCAAGGATGACCTAAATCATTATTTTGAAGAAGATATTGGTTTTGGCTATGATCCACGAGCTTACTCTTCGTATTACAGCCAGCTTGACGACTCGGTGATGCTGTCGAGCTTCCAACGATACCGAATGAGTTTGGCCGGAAGTACTGTCGTTAACGTTGATGATTTCGGAGCAACCGGTGATAAAGCTGGCGATACCGAGGCTTTCGAGAAAGCTTGGATGAAAGCTTGCTCGTCGAGAGGTGCAGTTGTTCTTCGAGTGCCTGCGGGAAAGAACTATTTTCTTAAGCCTGTTAGGTTTTTGGGTCCATGCAAGTCTAATCTTACTGTAGAGGTTAGTCTCGATCTTGTCCTGACTCTTCATTTTATATGTAGGACACATGTGTCCGACACATAATACTCGTGTTTTACTGTTGGAATTACAGTTTTCCGGGAACATAGCGGCATCAGATGATCGATCGGATTGTAAGGAAGATAACAGACACTGGCTTACGTTTGACAGTGTTGATAATTTGTTGGTCGAAGGTGGCGGCGGGAAGATTAACGGCAATGGGAAGATCTGGTGGCAGAATTCATGCAAAATTAATAAAAATCTCGTAAGCTTATTATTGCTACTAATATTTGATCATAATTCCATCCCGAATATATATTGACATTTCTTGTGTTGTATTATTTTGCAGCCATGCAAGGATGCTCCCACAGTAAGTCGAAGTCTTTGCTTATGTCATGTTTCGAGTTCAAATTCGGACAATTAATCTCGAGTCAATAAAAAAGATTTTGGTGTTATAATTATAAATGGTATTTGTAAAACTCTATGTTGCAGGCTCTCACCTTCTACAATAGCAAAAAATTGATAGTTCGGAACTTGAACATTCAAGATGCTCAACAAATTCACGTTTCTTTCGAAGCATGCACCAATGTTCGAGCTTCCGGTTTCAAGATAATGGCACCGGAAAAAAGTCCGAACACCGACGGGATTCACATCACGAATACGCAAAATATCCAAGTCACAAGCTCCATAATAGGAACCGGTACCATTTCTTCCTTTGTTACAAGTAACAGATATTGACATTCCAATTTCAAATCTAAAACGCTAAATGTGTTTTGTTTGTTGATCGAAGGCGATGATTGTATTTCCATCGTAAGCGGATCCCAAAATGTGCAAGCTAGTGACATAACCTGCGGTCCGGGCCATGGAATTAGGTCTTTTAACTCTAACTTATATATAATTTCTTTATACCTGTCTCCATTTAATCAGAGGATATTGAATGTTTAAACACGTTGGACCTCACATTCTTCTATATAATGTACTAACATTAATATGATGATTGAAACTCAGTATTGGAAGCTTAGGATCCAAGAATTCAAAGGCCTTTGTGTCTGGTGTGACTATTGATGGAGCTAAACTTTCAGGGACAACAAATGGAGTTAGGATCAAGACATGGCAGGTAAACATGTTCGGAACTCGTATCCGACACATATTCGAATACGAATATCGGCTCAGAATCCGATTATCCGAATGATGTATATGATTAATATATTGTCTAATGATTTCCAGGGAGGCTCAGGAACTGCAAGTAACATTAAATTCCAAAACATTGAAATGAACAACGTGAAGAACCCAATCATCATAGACCAAAACTACTGTGATCAAAGCAAACCATGCAAAGAACAGGTTTGAACAAGGGAGCCCATGCACACCATTTGTTTGTTTATATGTCCCAAAAAGTAATCCTCAACCGAATTTTTGGAAGTTTGTTGCAGAGCTCAGCTGTTCAGATTAAGAATGTGGTGTACAACAACATCAAAGGGACAAGCTCTTCTGAAGTTGCGATAAATTTCGATTGCAGCAAAAGCCATCCTTGCCAAGCGATTGTGTTGCAAAATGTGAACCTGCAGGACCAAGAACATGGACCAGCCAAAGCTATCTGCAGCAATGTCAAATTGAGTCAAGGGGACACTGTTCCAAAATGCCCTTAAAGCTTTTATATACATATACGTACACAGATACAGATACAGATACAAATACATATACAAAAGAGTGTGTCTCATTACAATGACTAGGCTGACTCTGTAAATATATCAAATGTTAAAGAATAATATGAAAAAATCAATTTATTGTTTATTTGGAAAATATTCAATAACATTGCTGTAGTGAGTTTGAATAAGGTTATGTCCTTGTGTTGTTTTAGTGACTTTGTACTTTGATGGCTCCATAGTTAATTTAAACCTATTTTTGTTTAAATCCTTAAAATTTAGACTGATCTTCGAAATGTGATAAATAGTCTGATATTTAAATAGGTCTAAATAGAATCATATAAATTTGTAATATTATAATTAAAACATATTAATATAAAATTAAAATTATTTTACCTAATCCTACCTTGCCTAAAAAACCGACGTGATTTTCCTTGAAGTCCGCTTGAAATTGACAAATCTCAAGCTAAAGCATCAATTTATCTTATCCCAATCTACAACCTCTTTATTATGATCAACATAGAATTAAGATGTATTGCTTTTCTCATCCTCCTCAACCTCCCCATTGTTTGTATATGAAATAAAATACTTTGGCGCTAGTGAATCAAAGAGAGTGCGAAAATTTGGATTTAAGAGGAAAGTTTTAGGGGAGTTTGGCATAGATTTACCAAAGAAATTTAAGCGAAGTGAGACAGTTAACAATCGAGTAACCTAAACAGAAGCAATTCGAAAACTTTTGTGATGAAATTGGAATTGTTTAATGTCTAGTGACAAAATAGAAACGAAGGAAAACCAAGTGACCAAAATAGTACTTTTTCCTTTTTGAAATAAGCTTTTTTTAAAACCAAAATCCATTGTTTAATCTTATATTTATCGGATATATATTCGAGTTTGCATTATTTAAGATGAAAAAATTGAGATCAAGGAGAAAATGAAGTAAAACCCTCTCAAAGAGGTAAACTCTAATAGATCAATAGTTACAATATATGAATTATATGTAAGCCTGTCTAATAGAGATATGGTTCTTATGTATATAATCACATAGAAACACGGTCATACATAAATCATAGAATCTCAATTAGATAAAAGGAAATACAATTTTACTGCACATAATTACATAAAAATTCAATTATGTATATGTCATAAAGTTTCAATTAGATAAAATATATAAAAATCATTGTCGTTTATCTCTAATAATCATTCCATAAAAACCTCGTATATCATGACAAAGCAATATCACATCGTATATATTTTTTTTTGAACTTTTTTCTCTATAAATATAAATTCTCATCGATGACAGCTAGCTCACAAGCCATACTCATTCTCTCCTATAGCTTTCATAAATCACTATTTTCTCCATTTATTTTCGCATTTTTATTCACAAAAATGGCTCAACAAAACACACAATTCCTAGTATTATTCCTTGCTGTTCTCTCTTTATTCTCACGTTACAATGCATTGAAGGATGACCGGCTAAACCATTATTTTGAAGAAGATATTGGTTTTGGCTATTATCCACGAGTTTACCCTTCGTATTACAGCGCCATTGAAGATCATGGGAAGCTTGACAACTCGGTGATGCCATCGAGCTTCCAACGGTACCCTTCGTGTTATCGTGTCACATCGAGTTTGGACAGAAGTACTGTCGTTAACGTTGATGATTTCGGAGCAACCGGTGATAAAGTTAGAGATACCGAGGCTTTCGAGAAAGCTTGGATGAAAGCTTGCTCGTTGATAGGTGCAGTTGTTCTTCAAGTGCCTGCGGGAAAGAACTATGCTCTAAAGCCTGTTAGGTTTTCAGGTCCATGCAAGTCTAATCTTACTGTAGAGGTTAGTCTCGATATTGTTCCGACTCTTCATTTTATTTTTATGTCCGACATGTGTATTTGACAAGTAAGACTCGTGTTTTATAGATGTCCGGGAACATAGCGGCGTCGGATGATCGATCGGATTATAAGGAAGATAACAGACACTGGCTTACGTTTGACGGTGTCGATAATTTGTTGGTCGAAGGTGGCGGAGGGAAGATTAATGGCAATGGGAATATCTGGTGGCAGAATTCATGCAAAATTAATAAAACTCTCGTAAGCTTATTACCCCAAGCTTGCTTCATATTCAAGACTTTATTTACGTCATGTTTCGAGTTCAAATCCGGACAATCAACCCGACTCGATAAACAAAAAGATTTAGTGTTATAATTATAAATGGTATTTGAAAAAACCTATATGTTGCAGGCTCTCACCTTCTACAAAAGCAGAAACTTGGTAGTTCAAAACTTGAACATTCAAGATGCTCAACAAATTCACGTTTCTTTCGAGGGATGCACCGATGTTCGAGCTTCTGGTTTCACGATAACGGCCCGGGAGAAAAGTCCGAACACGGACGGGATTCACATCACGAATACGCAAAACATCCGAGTCAATAACTCCATATTCGAATTTTAAGTCTAAAACACTTCAATCTTTTTGTTTTGTTAATCGAAGGTGATGATTGTATCTCCATCGTAAGCGGATCCCAACATGTGACAGCAACTAACATAACATGCGGTCCGGGTCATGGAATTAGGTCTTTTAACTCGAACTTAATTATATTCCACAATATTTTTATATTTTTCTCCATTCAATCAAAGGATATTGAACACTTAAACACGTTCGATCTCTCGTTCTCCTGTATAATGTAATGACATTAATCTGTTTGTGCTGATTGAAACTCAGTATTGGAAGCTTAGGAGCCAAGAATTCAATGGCTCTTGTCTTCAATGTGACTGTTGACGGAGCTAAACTTTCAGGGATAACAAATGGAGTTAGGATCAAGACATGGCAGGTAATCATGTCCGATCTGACACATATTCGAATATAGATATCGGGTTAATCATTCATTTAGAATCCGATTATCCGAGTGACATATATGATTAATATTTTGTCTAATGATTTCCAGGGAGGGTCAGGAACTGCAAGCAACATTACATTCCAAAACATTGAAATGAACAACGTGACGAACCCAATCATCATAGACCAAAACTACTGTGATCAAAGCAATCCATGCCACGAACAGGTTTGCACAAAGGATCCCATGCACACCAATTGTTTCTTATATGTCCCAAAGAGAAAAACAACTAATTTTTTAAAATTTGTTGCAGAGCTCAGCAGTTCAGATTAAGAACGTGGTGTACAACAACATCAATGGGACAAGCTCTTCTGAAGTTGCGATAAATTTCAATTGCAGCACAAACCATCCTTGCCAAGCGATTGCGCTGCAAAAAGTGAGCCTGCAGAACCAAGAACATGGACCAGCCAAAGCTATCTGCAACAATGTCAATTTAATTAAAGGGGACAGTGATCCAAAATGCCCTAGGGTTTTATATATAGAACTAGATACAGATACATATACGCAAAAGATTGCGTCTCATTAAAATGGCTAGACTGACTTTGTAAATATATCTATATTAAAGAATAATATGAAATAATTTGTTTATTTGGAAAATATTCAATAACATTGTTTTAGTGAATTCCAAATAAAGTTATGTCTTTGTATGATAAAGTTGAATTGATGTATATATATATATATATTCATCCTTTTCCACCGTTCAGATTTGAAAATATCTCGACTCTGATATATCAAAGGGAGTGCAAAAATCCGAGTTTGAGAGAAAAGTTTCAGGGGCTTTTGCATAAATTTACCAAAGAAATTCAAGAGACTTTAAGCACTTAAAATTCGAGTCACCAAAATAGAAACAATTTAAAAATTTAGTGATGAAATAGAAATTTCTTAACATTAGATGACCAAAACAAAAACACAAGAAAATTGAGTGACCATAATAATTTATTCTTTTTAAATAGGCTTAAATTTTTTAAACCAAAATTTTTTGTTTAATCTTATATTTATAGGATATACATTCGAGTTTGCATCATTTAAGATGAAATCGAGCAGTCCACTACGAGCCTCACTACCTACATTAAACAGAAACAGTGACAACGGACATCCTTGCCTGAGACCTCTCTTAATTGAAAACTCTTAGAAGGGCATCTATTTACTAAGACCGAAATCGAGGGTGTTGAAATACAAAGATTGATCCATCTCCTCTATCTTCTGCCAAATCCCATTTTTTTAATACTAGACTAAAAAATTTCCAATCGATTGTATCATATGCTTTGCTAAAATCTGCCTTAAACAAAACAGCTTATTTCTTGCTTTTCCTCAGCTCATCAACAACTTCATTTGCAATCAGGGCACAATCCGTAATCTGTTTTCCAGCCATAAAAGAAAATTGGTTCTCCCCTATCACTTCTCCCATACAACTAGCCATCATTTTAGCCAAAACACGAGCCACAATCTTATACAAACCGCCTACCAACGAAATTGGCCTGAAATCATCCGGAGCAACAACCTCAGATTTCTTTGGGATGAGAGCAATAAACGACTTGTTGAAAGACAAGTCATCGACATTCCCCGATAAAACTCATCCATAAATTTCATAACATCTGCTTTTATGAATATCCAGAATCTCTTGAAAAAATACAGGTTGAAATCATCCGGTCCTGGTGCTCTGGATTCATCTGACGTTTTAATAGTGAGCCACACCTCTTCTTCCGTGAAAGGACCTTCGATCAATCTTCTAGCGCCTACAATAATTCTTTTAAGATGAACATCAAACCTCTTCACCGGAAGAGTTCTCACATCATTAAAACTATCTCTGAAATATGTTACGAAAGCATTTTGAATCCCAAACTGGTTTTTTATGTAGAGTTATTCACTTTCAAAGACGAAATCTGGTTCGTACGACCTCTTTGCGCTATCGTTAGATGGAAAAATTGTGTTTTTATCCCCATCCGTGAACCACTTTAGTCTTGACTTTTGCAACCATTCTCTTTCTTCCTTCCTCAAAACTACCCACAGCCTAGCTTTCAATGACATGATCTCGAGTTGAACTGTATTATCGTTCGGGTTTATAATACACAAGTTATCTAATATATCAATTTGCTTCCCAATCTCTACAGCCGAATTATTCTTATTTGCACGGATTGCACTCTCCCATTCCTTAGACACTTTTTTTGTTGTCATCAAAACAAACTGCACACCTTTACCGTTGTTGGCTTCACAAACTCCTATAATTCTATCAAATAAAAAAGGATCATCCGCTCAATGATTAAACCATTTGAATGGCATGCAAACCTTTTTAGGCTTCTTTTCTCTCAACACGACAAGTTTATGATCAAATAGACTTCTAGGAAGGGTTCACTGCATCAAATTCGGAAAAAGACATGCTATTTCAGTTGAGATTAAGAACCTGTCTAATCTACTAGCTGCCGTATTAAATCCTCCCCTAAACCATATGAAAACACTCCCAAAAATTGGAACCTCAATCAAATCCCACTTTGAAATAAAATTTTCAAAGATTGAAATAGAATTCGATATATCGTGCCCACCTGTTCTTTCCAAATCCGATCTCACCGTGTTAAAGTCTCCTCCCACAATAATCGGCAGCTTCCAATCTCAATTACTTCATTCAACTGATAAAAAAAAACCATTCTATCACCATGCGTATTCGGACCATAGACATTTAGTATGCCTATTTCCATGTTATTCCAAACCAGCATACCTTTCAATGCTACAATTCTTCTCAGAATTAAATGACATAAAGCACTAAATACACTACTATCCCACAACGTGATCAAGCCTCCTGAAGCACCTTCTGCAGGCGAGAATATCATTTCCTTATTAAATCTACCTTTTATTCTTCTCTCAACAGAAGCATGAATTGAATTAGCTTTAGATTCTTGTAACAAAACTACATTCGGATTTTGCGATTCAATAACCCGACTAATATCCCTAACCTTCTCATTCCTTCCCATACCTCTCACATTCCAAGTTAATACAGATAGGCCGTAATCCATATAATAACAAAACCCAAAAAATAAAATAAAGCACATAAGAGATACGAACTCAGGGTTTTCCCGAAGGCTCCAAGGAATCCAATCTCTCTAGCACCGTCTCTCTTGAAACTGCAAATTGCACGCCCAACGCCTCACCTACGGCTAATGACGCCTTTGCTTCGTTTCCGAGACCCAAACATCATCCTTGAGTACCCCCACCAAGAAAATCACTATGTTTCGGATGCCTTCTTGATTTTACCATCAACCTTCGGCCACTATCAATCTTTTTCTTTCTTATCACAACTTTGTCGAGCAATGAATTCTTACCACTGACCGTCTTAACTCCCCTTTTGGCACACGATTTTTCTTCGCCATAGCTGAATTTAACGTGCCTAATATATTCGTTGGAACTTTCCCAACCTTAAAGACACGATCTTCAACCCAAGAATCCTCATCCAAAATTTACAGCAAAGAAACTTCTTCAATAGGCACATCCATTAGTCTAGAGTTGTTTGATAAAGATAGGGACATCCGAGCTTGGTCAGCACATCTATTCAATTCCATCAGCCCAAAACTTTCATCTGCACACTGATTCAATGGCCCATCATTAGATAACACAATCACTTCGTGTAATCCTTCACCCACATCGTCCATTTGTACCATTTTGGAAGCTGCATGTTCCATTATAACAACCATCAAACCATTATCGCTTCACTGTCTCAACAACTCAGTATTACTGTCTGCAACAAAATCTGCATCAGAACCAACACCACTGGCACAATCCTCTTGGGCCCTTGAAACTAGCCCCTGATGTTCTTCAGTTGCTAACCAGGCTCCACCACCGACTGTGGTACCATCTATGAAAACCCTGCTCTCCTCTTGGATTTCCGAATTAATTCTAATGGTAAAAATTCTACCATTAACAATAATGTTACACTTCTCTGGTAAGGTCGACTCAAACTGCACCTCCATCAATATTCTCGCTTCATTGAATCTAACCCTTCTCCTAGTATCTTCATGGATCGATAACATTGTACCCCACGAGCTACCTAGTTCCTTGAAAAACTTATCAGACCATACTAGAAGAGGAACGTCTTTAAGAATAACCAGACTTTGATTTTTAACCTTTGCTCATAGCCTTCCAATAATTGCAACTCATCAAACCAGAGGCTCATCCATTCCTCCATTCTACCCCAACAAACCTGACGATCATCTTTTCCACTAAATTATAAAACCGCCAAGAGATCGTGCCAAAAACTGACCTTAACCTCCAAACCTTCAGCTCAAAAAGCTGTTTGAATAATATCCTCATTGAACATTCTTTTAATTTTCCCCACTAAACAACTTTCACTCCACCGTACCTCCTCTCTAGGAACGAGGATGTTTCTGCCTATTGCTTTATTGTTCAAAGAACCATTCGAGATATTGTGATCAACAATATTGACATGAAATACATTATCAGACTATTTTATTACATGAGTCTGGTGAAATACTATCCTATCTTGAATATTTCTACCTCCTGCCTGCATACCGTCAACTACATCCTTAAAGGATCTAGAATCCCTTAACGCTGGTTTCCATACCTTGTTTACCATTCTGCCATTCTCTGTAACCTTATTACTAACTGCACCATCTTTGTTATGAAAAACTCTAATTTTGAATCCGTCCATAATTCGACCATCCGCCCTAAGAACATCTAAATTAGCTTCAGTCATACTCTTAAACCTCACAAAAGTAAAAGTAGAAGCAACAACAAGTCTTTTCCTACTTCTGAACGCAATGAAAAAGTCTATCACCACTCCATACACCTGAAATGATTCCTTCAGTGCATACGGATGAATCCTCTTACTAATATTGTTAACAAAGACTGAATAGCCTTTTGACATATGAGCATATCGATCGGCTCCACCATCCCTCCCAAACTCTCTCTGACTACCCGTAATCCTCATCGCTAATGAAAAGCTTCCAAAGAGACCAGTAACTATGAAAATATCTTTTAATTTATGATAGAAACCTTCTATGACAATTTTTAACAACGTAACTCTACCACAAAACTTGTTGAGCTAATAGACTATTTTACTGAGACTTTTTCACAAACACCTTGTATGCAGAAATAGTAGACGCAAATAAACTCCAGACCCAATATATCTTATCGCGATACCCACACAGAGGAGAATATTATCTCATGACTAGGGCTGTAAATGAGACGAGACAGATCGCGAGCTACTCGAGATTGACTCGATCAAAGCTCGATAAATACTCGGATCGAATGGACTCGACTCGAGCTCGAGCTCGACTCGAGTTTTTAACGAGCCGAAACGAGCTACTCGATATTTGACTCGAAAAGCTCGTGAGTAGCTCGAAAATATAATATATTAAGATTTTATTTTTTTAGAAATAAATTATTAATAATATTAATATTTATGTATTGATTTTTTAATAAAAAAAATACAGTAAGATTTCTTGTATTTAAGGTTCATGTTCGAGTTTAAGGCTTCAATCGAGCTAAGTTTAATATTTTTTTTCATTTCGAGCCTTT